AAAAAAAAAAAAAAAAAAAAACTTCTCTTTAAGAGTTAGGCCATCCAGCTATCCTAGCCTCTAATCTTCCTTACTGAACCCATTTCATCCTCATTCTCCATATTCAATAAGGACTCCATCTCTGAGATCCCTCTACCTTACCTATACAAACCTTGCCATTATCTTGGGCAATTTCAAAGCACAATCCATATAATGTGCACACCTCGACTCTCCTCTACCTAAACAAATACAATTGCATTTCATTCAACAATTTATTCCAATGTCCATAACCTGGACCTTGTCTCACTCAGACTCACTCCATCTCTGGCCACAACCTCCTATCCTTCACCTATTCTTTGACCTTATTAAAGCAACCAGAGCCCCAACCTTCCACTTCACTGAGTCTGTTTCTTCTTGATCACAAGTACTCCTCTTCCACAGAAACAAATCATTTCATTGCTTTCTCACTAGCACCTTCAACTCTCAACCCCCCTTTACCTATCAGTACCACCATTTCTGCAAACCTCCAATCCTAAATCAATGCCACAATTTAATTTGACATCAGACTTAGAAAATCAAGTGGAGGGAAAATAAATGCTCAATAAACATTTATTAAATCCATTCTCAGGCTTTCAACACTACTAGTCAATTCTTTCTTTCCACCATGTGTCTGTTGGTTTGTTGTGCTCTGGTGGCATGTTGCTGTGATATTGGAGGCTTTGCCACCAGTATTTCAAATACCAGCAGGGTTACCCTTGGTGGACAGGTTTCAGCTGAGATTCCAGACTAGGACAGACTAGGAAGAAGGACCTAGCAGTCTACTTCTGAAAAAAAATGGCCAGAGAAAACCTTCTAAATAGCAATGGAACATTGTTTGATACAGTGCTGGAAGATGAGTTCTTCAGGTTGGAAGGCACTCAAAACACGACCGGTAAAGAGCTGCCTCCTCAGAGAAGAGTCGACCTTAATGGCGTGGATGGAGTCAAGCTTTCAGGACCCTCATTTGCTGATGTGGCATGACTCAAAATGAGAAGAACAGCTACAAACATCCACTATTAATTGGAACATGGAACTGTACAAAGTATGAATACAGGAAAATGGACAGTCTTCAAAAATGAAATGGAACACAATAGATATCGATATCTTAGGTATTAGTAAGCTGAAATGGACTGGTATGGACCATTCTGAATCACACAATCATATGGTCTACTATACCAGGAATAACAAACTGAAGCAGAATGGTGTCACGTTCATCGTCAAAAAGAACATTTCAAGAACTATCCTGAAGTACAACGCTGTCAGTGATAGGATAATATCCATACACCTACAAGGAAGACCACTTAATATGAGTATTATTCAAATTTACACAACAACCACTAAGGCCAAAGATGAAGAAATTGAAGGTTTTTACCAACTTCTGCAATCTCAGGCTGATCAAACATGCAATCAAGATGCATTGATAATTACTGGAGATTGGAATGCGAAAGTTGGAAACAAAGAAGAAGGATCAGTAGTTGGAAAATATAGCCTTGGTGATAGAAACGATGCCAGAGATCATATGATAGAATTTCACAAGACCAATGACTTCATTGCAAATACATTTTTCAACAACATAAATGGCAACTACACACGTGGACCTCGCCAGATGGAATACACAGGAATCAAATCAACTACATCTGTGGAAAGAGATAATGGAAAAGCTCAATAACATCAATCAGAACAAGGCCAGGAGCCGACTGTGGAACAGGCCATCAAGTATTCAAATGCAAATTCAAGTTGAAATTGAAGAAATTTAGAACAAATCCATGAGAGTCAAAGTACAACCTTGAGTATATCCCACCTGAATTTAGAGACCACCTCAAGAATAGATTTGATCACTGAACACTAATGACTGAAGACTAGACGAGTTGTGGAATGACATCAAGGACATCATACATGAAGAAAGAAAAAGGTCATTAAAAAAAGAGGAAAGAAAGAAAAGTCAAAATGGATGTCAGAAGAGACTCTGAAACTTGCTCTTGAATGTAGAGTAGCTAAAATGAAAGGAAGAAATGATGAAGTAAAAGAGCTGAACAGAAGATTTCAAAGGGCAGCTCAAGAAGACAAAGTAAAGTATTATAATGAAAGTGCAAAGACCTGGAGATAGGAAAGCAAAATGGAAGAACACACTTGGCATGTCTCAAGCTGAAAGGACTGAAGAAAAAATTCAAGCCTCAAGTTGCAATAATGAAGGATTCTATGGGGAAAACATTAAACAACACAGGAAGCATCAAAAGAAGATGGAAAGAATACATAGTCATTGTACCAAAAAGAATTGGTCGACGTTCAGTCATTTCAGGAGATGGCATATGATCAAGAACCAATGGTACCAAAGGAAGAGGTCCAAGCTGCACTGAAGGCATTGTTGAAAAACAAGGCTCCAGGAATTAACAGAATACGAATTGAGGTGTTTTAACAAACAGATGCAGCGCTGGAAGTGCTCACTCTATGCCAAGAAATTTGGAAGACAGCTACCGGGCCAACTGACTGGAAGGGATCCATACGTGTAACCATTTCAAAGAAAGGAGATCCAACAAAATGCAGAAATTATCGAACAATATCATTAATATCACACGCAAGTAAAATTTTGCTGAAGATCATTCAAAAGCAGTTACAATAGTACATTGACAAGGAACTGCCAGAAATTCAAGCCAGATTCAGAAGAGGACATGAAACAAGGGATATCACTGCTGATGTCAGATGGATCATAGATCCAGTGCTGCCTTCATTTGTGTTTGGTTGATTTTTTGTAGTGAACCATTTTGATTCCCTTCTCCTTTCCTTTTGTGTATACTTTTTAGATGTTTTCTTTTTTGTTACCATGATAATTTCATTTAATAATCTAGTTTAAATTGATACCAATATGACTTTGATAATGTACAAAAGCTCTTCCTATACTGTTTCTTCCCCCTACCCTTATGCTGTTACAAAAATTGTATCTTCATATATAAAGTATCCAAAAACATTAATTTATGATTATTTTAATGCATTTGTTATTTTAAATCACATGGGACATAATTACTAGACTTACAAACCAAAAATATCATAAATCTGGACCTTATATTTTCCCATGAAATAACTTTATCAAAAATATTTTTTTCTACTTAAGCTTCAAGATACTATCTAGTGTCCTTTAATTTCAATCTGAAGGACTCCCTTTAGCACTTCTTGTAAGGCAGGTTTGGTTGTAACAAACTCACTCAGTTTTTTGCTTATCTTGGAATGACTTAATTTTGTCCTCACTCTTGAAAGTTTTCCTTGGTTGGCATTTCTTTTCTTTGAGCACTTTAAGTATGTCACCTCGCTGCCTTCTAGAAACTCAAAGGTTTCTGAGGGGAAGTCGACACTTAATCTTACTGAGGATCCCTTTATGTGACAATATGCTTCTCTCTTGATGATTTCAGGATTCTCTCTCTTTGGATTTCAAGAGTTTGATTATAATGCATCTTGGTGTGGGTCTCTGTGGGTTTATCCTAACTAGAGTTCATTGAACTCCTTGAATATGTAGGCTCATGTCCTTCATCAAGTTTTGAAAGTTTCCTGTCACTATTTCTTCAAATATTCTTTCTGTCTTTTTCTCTCTTCTCCTTCTGAGTCTCCAATAATATGTACGTTGGTTAGCTTGATGGTATACCACAATTC